TATTTTCATTATCTTTTTGTTCCATTCATCCGGCATGCTACCCTCCATCAATATCTACAACCTATTGCCAACACACTAGTAGCTGCTCGATGCCTCCCTTGTAGGACTCTACTGAATTCTGATCGAAGAAAGATCAGATGTCGATTTTGACATCATCATAGTTAGGATGAGCTTTCTTCTCTAGGAGATGGTTTGGAGAGGGGAGCAGAAGGGCATTATTTGCCTCGAGGTCAGGGCTATAACGTGAATACGGAAGAACTCTCCGTCCCAGAGTCTCGAAATTTTCCTGAATTTTCTTAGCAAGAGGTTTTTCAACGGTGTCATACAAAAGCAAACTTTGCCTTGTTTTTCTTTCGTATTTAAAAGCGTTGCATTCGAGCTGTGGATAGTTGACTTTCGCGTTGACTGCGACATCTACACGTAGGGGTTTCCAGAGCTTAACTCCTCCCGTGTTCCACCAAAAATCCGAGAAGGCCCTACTTGGACGAGGTTGAACTTAAGCAATAAGATCTCCCGAAGCGTTTGAGCTGGACTACCGCCGCTTGTTCATTTGTTAGTAAACTGTACCCACTCCTCATCTTCGGCAAATGTGATGGATGGTCAATCGTAGAATCCCTAGTAAGTCGACTTGAACATAACGGTGTCAGATCGTGTTTGGAGCTGAATCGGGCTCAAGGCACGTGGGGACCAAACTCTACATTTTCGGATCTTCACAAGTCTTTGGAGATGCCACAGTGCTGTCTCCTTGTCGCATCGGAATCGCTCTAGCAAATGATCGATACTCTATCCAGATCCCTTTTCAACGGCGTCAGATAGAGCATCGTGATTGTCAGTCACAGGGTGGTTGGAGTGTGGGTTATTTTCAAATAAAAAAGTCAACGCTGAGCAGAGTGAAGCGCCGTTGCACTGTGGTTTGAGAGAGCGTGCCCTCGCCTATCTTCTGGCCAATCCTTGGTCTAGCATGACTTGCGGAACATTCCAAGCAGTACTCGTAAAAATTAAGGGCACCGAGAGCCCTCTCGCGAAATCGGTGTAGTATCCATAATAAGTAAGCAGACAACGAGCTGGACCGTTGGCTGAAATTGCAAAGGTTAATGCTACGTCAGGAAATATGTTGCGGATTTTCAGGAGTTCTCCCTAAAATTCTTGCAAGACTATAGGACGACCTACGTGGAAGTCTTGTGCATTCAAAAGCTGCCTTCACTTTCTGAAATGGTTATCAATGAAGAAAGTTATAGTCCTTTAAATAGGGGGTACATTTGACGATTTTTCCAACTAGCGCGCTCTAGGCACAGCGCGCGACGCGATCGCGGGTAGTTAGCGCCGCTATACTGGAGCGCGAGACTGTTCAACTGTGTAGGGGCAGTACCTAGTCCTTCAATGTTCCACTTTCCGGCCAATGTGGCAAAGGTTAAATGTCTTTAAAGGAAAGAAAGAATTGAATCTAGCATTTGGATCAAGCCGCATTTGCGTGGCAGCGGCGCTGCGTCCCTCTCGCACATCTGAA